ACATGAAGCAGGCTTTCCTTACTGAGGAGTTAGCAACGCTGCTAAGGGTGCAGAGCCACACATGCGCTCCGAGCTCTGCATGAGACTGAAGCTGACAGAGCTGCAGCAGTTAGCAGGTTTCACCCTCAGAGACCACCAGGGGTTCATGTTGAGGCATTTTCAGTTTTTTTTTTTTTTTTTTTTTTGCCATAGACACTGTCAGCACAATCTGCAGTTACACTAACAAAAATGCTGCAAAAAACAAAGAATTATGGAAAAATTACACATGGACTGACATAGAGGAGGATCTACACAAGTTTTTTACATCATGTTTTACATCATGCATCATTTACATCATGTTTTTTTGTAGTGGCATAAATAAAAAGTGACATTTGTGAGACTATACAGTGTTTTGTAAATAATTTTACAAAGAACGCCTGGGCCATTGCCTGCATTTTGATGTAAATAGAGGTAAATCACTATGTTCTTTGTTAAAAATTTGCATATGTTTTGAAGTTTACAATTTTTATTTGAAGTTTAAGTTTTAAAAACAGTTCATCACACATATTTGTGGTTTTCACAGTAAAAATGTTACTTTTTTCCACTCGGATTTTATGTTTTGTGTGTGAATTTGGGTCCATTGTGTAAATTCAGTATGTCAACATGATAAAATAACTGTAAATTCGCACAGGTGAGGTTGTGCTGAAAAAAATGATACCAGGCAAGGCACGTGATTGTCAAATTTTGTGTCAATATGACAAAGCGTATAGGCGTGAATCTCAACAATATGTATTTTCACCTTAGGGGACAAGAAAAAATGGACTTTTTTCTCCTGCCATGGGGGGGCGCTCTTTTGGGGAGTAAAAATTCCTTCACAAATGTGTTGATGGCTGGACATTGCATCATCCTAGAAAACTTGGAGGCCAGTGAGGACAAAAATAAAAAGTTATAAGACTTTTAAATATGTGGATTTTAGGGTTATCTTTGGCGCCCCCTAGAACCTAAACCGTGGGGTGCAGCGTCATGATTTGAATAACTTTTAATGGCCATGGGGTGTAGATTGGCCTGAGCAAATGTGGTGCCGGTGGAACGAAAGCCTTAGGAGGAGTTAGCCACATTCCAATGTGTGCGGATCGGCAAAAAATGCGGAATAACCCTTTAACCGTACATTTGACAGATATGCACGCATTGACTTTTTCGTAGATCTTATTGAGATACATGTGTGTGTCAATTTTTGTGTCATTTTGACAAAGCGTATAGACGTGACACTCAACAATGTGTATTTTCACCTTAGGGGACAAGAAAAAATGGACTTTTTTCTCCTGCCATGGGGGGGCGCTCTTTTGGGGAGTAAAAATTCCTTCACAAATGTGTTGATGGCTGGACATTGCATCATCCTAGAAAACTTGGAGGCCAGTGAGGACAAAAATAAAAAGTTATAAGACTTTTAAATATGTGGATTTTAGTGTTATCTTTGGCGCCCCCTAGAACCTAAACCGTGGGGTGCAGCGTCATGATTTTGATAACTTTTAATGGCCACGGGGTGTAGATTGGCCTGAGAAAATGTGGTGCCGGTGGAACGAAAGCCTTCGGAGGAGTTAGCGAAATTCCAATGTGTGCGGATCGGCAAAAAATGCGAAATAACCCTTTAACCGTAATTTTGACAGATACGGCCGCACTGACTTTTTTGTAGATCTTATTGAGATACATATGTGTGTCAATTTTTGTGTCAATATGACAAAGCGTACAGGCGTGACAATCAATAGTGTGAATTTCCACCTTAGGGGGCGCTATGGAGCCATTTTGCATTTTATTGTTTGGGCGACTTCAGAATATCAAATTTTTCACCAGGCCCGGTCGTCCTGCCAAATTTCATGAGTTTTCGCCAGTGGGAAGTGGGCCATTTTCCAGTTCAAAGGGGAGGAAAAAGAAGAAACTAGGACCCCGTTGGGGCACTGGCGGGCCCGAGCCCTGTCGCGTCCCCCCCCCCAACGTGCTGCCTCCCCGTCCCATTTGTGTCCTCTGGCCATCGCCCTCTCTGGTAACGCCCATCACTGCAAAGACCCTTTTCCTTCATCGGCGTTTGCTGTTCTTCCTGCCAGTGCGTGTTGCTTTCACTTACACTTGCCACAGCCAGCCTCGTGAGTGCCTAGCCTATTGGATATCACTGTCACCTACACAGGACAGTCATTACCTTTCTATTAATACTTTGTGTTTTAATTTCACATTAATTTCCATATTGTATAAACGACTGGAAAAAACTTGAGCCCCTGCCCCTGTATAATCATGTGCATGTCTCTGTTCTAGCTCCAAGGTGAATCTTCACTGCTCATGTTCTCCTCAGAAGCACTCACCTCACTCCCCTCAGGTTACTGTACACATGCACCAACTGCCTGCTTCAGGTTTGGATGGAGCTTCATGGTTGTCTTTTGGAGAAATGACCAGTCAAGTTGTGTTTGAAATTTGATTTTTTTCAGGGGCAAAAGGAGCCTCTGCATTCTTGTCAAATATGTAAATAGCATGTTTTTGCAGGTGCTAAAAACCAGACTCTGAGTGTGTGTGTGTGTGTGTGTGTGTGTGTGCGTGTGTGTGTGTGTGTGCGTGTGTGTGTGTCTGTGTGTGCGTTCAAGTCACATGACATATTTCACCGGATGTAGCTGCAAGACGGAGCCTCGTTGACTCTCCGTTTCAACTTATCTCAAAAGTGAGGACCTCAACCTATATACCAGTTTTTAAATTGTGTTGATAGGCCAAATAAAACCAGAGTTATGATAAATTATGTCCGCGATACTTTTTTTCTGCTTATTTTGATCACGTTCGGCGCTCGATCGCGCTGTATGAGACAGGAAAACATAGCATGCAGACATTAGCGACAGGTCTTACAGGCGGAAAAGGCTTGCCAAAGGGAAAAAAAAACACACCACAACATCTCTCCTATTGGTGGAAAACTTCACCACAACAACCAATCCAAAATTATATGGTGACTGATTGACAAGGGGCGGGCGCTTACGTTCTTCCTGCAACATGAGAAGGGAGGGAGGGACTCTCAGCAGGGATGCAGTCTGGGACACGTAGTTGCAAACCTAGCGACTTTGTTGTTAGATTCAATGACTTTTCAGACCCCCTAACGACTTTTTTTTAGAAAGAAAGGGACTTTTATCGACTTCTTCTGGAGTTTAGAGACTCTGACATGAAGCAGGCTTTCCTTACTGAGGAGTTAGCAACGCTGCTAAGGGTGCAGAGCCACACATGCGCTCAGAGCTCTGCATGGGAGACTGAAGCTGACAGAGCTGCAGCAGTTAGCAGGTTTCACCCTCAGAGACCACCAGGGGTTCATGTTGAGGCATTTTAATTTTTTTTTTTTTTTTGTGACATAAACACTGTCAGCACAATCTGCAGTTACACTAACAAAAATGCTGCAAAAAACAAAGAATTATGGAAAAATTACACATGGACTGACATAGAGGAGGATCTACACAAGTTTTTTACATCATGTTTTACATCATGCATCATTTACATCATGTTTTTTTGTAGTGGCATAAATAAAAAGTGACATTTGTGAGACTATACAGTGTTTTGTAAATAATTTTACAAAGAACGCCTGGGCCATTGCCTGCATTTTGATGTAAATAGAGGTAAATTACTATGTTCTTTGTTAAAAATTTGCATATGTTTTGAAGTTTACAATTTTTATTTGAAGTTTAAGTTTTAAAAACAGTTCATCACACATATTTGTGTTTTAATTTCACATTAATTTCCATATTGTATAAATGACTGGAAAAAACTTGAGCCCCTGCCCCTGTATAATCATGTGCACGTCCCTGTTCTAGCTCCAAGGTGAATCTTCACTGCTCATGTTCTCCTCAGAAATAGTCACCTCACTCCCCTCAGGTTACTGTACACATGCACCAACTATCTGCTTCAGGTTTGAAATGGAGCTTCATGGTTGTCTTTTGGAGAAATGAACAGTCAAGTTGTGTTTGAAATTTGATTTTTTTCAGGGGCAAAAGGAAGCCTCTGCATTCTTGTCAAATATGTAAACAGCATGTTTTTGCAGGTGCTAAAAAACAGACTCTGAGTGTGTGTGTGTGTCTGTGTGTGTGTGTGTGTGTGTGTGTGTGTGTATGTTGGCGTGTGTGTATATGTGTGTGTATCCTGCAGTACTCTGTACTCCTGCAGTGGCCAAAAAGACTTTTAAGAATGTGGATTTTTGGGTCATCTTTGGCGCCCCCTAGAATTGCAGTACTCTGTACTCCTGCAGTGGCCAAAATGACTTTTAAGAATGTGGATTTTTGGGTCATCTTTGGCGCCCCCTAGAACGTAAACCGTGGGGTGCAGCGTCATGATTTTTACAACTTTGAATGGGCATGGGGTGTAGATTGGCCTGAGCAAATGTGGTGCCGGTGGAACGAAAGCCTTCGGAGGAGTTAGCGAAATTCCAATGTGTACGGATCGCCAAAAAATGCGAAATAGCCCTTTAACCGTACAATTGACAGATACGCCCGCATTGTTTTTTTCGTAGATCTTATTGAGACACACCTGTGTGCCAAATTTTGTGTCATTTTGACAAAGTGTAGAGAAGTGACACTCAACAATGTGTATTTTCACGTTAGGGGACAAGAAAAAATTGACTTTTTTCTCCTGCCATGGGGGGGCGCTTTTTTGGGGAGTAAAAATTCCTTCACAAATGTGTTGATGGCTGGACATTGCATCATCCTAGAAAACTTGGAGGCCAGTGAGGACAAAAATAAAAAGTTATAAAACATTTAAGAATGTGGATTTTTGGGTTATTTTTGGCGCCCCCTAGAACCTAAACCGTGGGGTGCAGCATCATGATTTTGATAACTTTTAATGGCCATGGGGTGTAGATTGGCCTGAGCAAATGTGGTGCCGGTGGAACGAAAGCCTTAGGAGGAGTTAGCCACATTCCAATGTGTGCGGATCGGCAAAAAATGCGGAATAACCCTTTAACTGTACATTTGACAGATACGCGCGCATGGACTTTTTTGTAGATCTTATTGAGTTACATGTGTGTGTCAATTTTTGTGTCATTTTGACAAAGCGTATAGGCGTGACACTCAACAATGTGTATTTTCACCTTAGGGGACAAGAAAAAATGGACTTTTTTCTCCTGCCATGGGGGGGCGCTCTTTTGGGGAGTAAAAATTCCTTCACAAATGTGTTGATGGCTGGACATTGCATCATCCTAGAAAACTTGGAGGCCAGTGAGGACAAAAATAAAAAGTTATAAGACTTTTAAATATGTGGATTTTAGTGTTATCTTTGGCGCCCCCTAGAACCTAAACCTTGGGGTGCAGCATCATGATTTTGATAACTTTTAATGGCCACGGGGTGTAGATTGGCCTGAGCAAATGTGGTGCCGGTGGAACGAAAGCCTTCGGAGGAGTTAGCGAAATTCCAATGTGTGCGGATCGGCAAAAAATGCGAAATAACCCTTTAACCGTAATTTTGACAGATACAGCCGCACTGACTTTTTTGTAGATCTTATTGAGTTACATGTGTGTGTCATTTTTTGTGTCAATATGACAAAGCGTACAGGCGTGACAGTCAATAGTGTGAATTTCCACCTTAGGGGGCGCTATGGAGCCATTTTGCATTTTATTGTTTTGGCGACTTCAGAATATCGAATTTTTCACCAGGCCCGGTCGTCCTGCCAAATTTCATGAGTTTTCGCCAGTGGGAAGTGGGCCATTTTCCAGTTCAAAGGGGAGGAAAAAGAAAAAAGAAAGAAAGAAACAAAGAAAAACCACTTGGGGAATAATAGGGCCTACGCCCGGCTGCTCTGCAGCTGGCTCGGGCCCTAAGAAAGAAAGAAAGAAAGAAAGAAACAAAGAAAAACCACTTGGGGAATAATAGGGCTCTCGCAGCTGCTTAGCAGCTACGCTCGGGCCCTAACTAGGACCCCGTTGGGGCACTGGCGGGCCCGAGCCGTGTCGCGTCCCCCCCCCAACGTGCTGCCTCCCCGTCCCATTTGTGTCCTCTGGCCATCGCCCTCTCTGGTAACGCCCATCACTGCAAAGACCCTTTTCCTTCATCGGCGTTTGCTGTTCTTCCTGCCAGTGCGTGTTGCTTTCACTTACACTTGCCACAGCCAGCCTCGTGAGTGCCTAGCCTATTGGATATCACTGTCACCTACACAGGACAGTCATTACCTTTCTATTAATACTTTGTGTTTTAATTTCACATTAATTTCCATATTGTATAAACGACTGGAAAAAACTTGAGCCCCTGCCCCTGTATAATCATGTGCATGTCTCTGTTCTAGCTCCAAGGTGAATCTTCACTGCTCATGTTCTCCTCAGAAGCACTCACCTCACTCCCCTCAGGTTACTGTACACATGCACCAACTGCCTGCTTCAGGTTTGGATGGAGCTTCATGGTTGTCTTTTGGAGAAATGACCAGTCAAGTTGTGTTTGAAATTTGATTTTTTTCAGGGGCAAAAGGAGCCTCTGCATTCTTGTCAAATATGTAAATAGCATGTTTTTGCAGGTGCTAAAAACCAGACTCTGAGTGTGTGTGTGTGTGTGTGTGTGTGTGTGTGTGTGTGTGTGTGTGTGTGTGCGTGTGTGTGTGTCTGTGTGTGCGTTCAAGTCACATGACATATTTAACCGGATGTAGCTGCAAGACGGAGCCTCGTTGACTCTCCGTTTCAACTTATCTCAAAAGTGAGGACCTCAACCTATATACCAGTTTTTAAATTGTGTTGATAGGCCAAATAAAACCAGAGTTATGATGAATTATGTCCGCGATACTTTTTTTCTGCTTATTTTGATCACGTTCGGCGCTCGATCGCGCTGTATGAGACAGGAAAACATAGCATGCAGACATTAGCGACAGGTCTTACAGGCGGAAAAGGCTTGCCAAAAGAAAAAAAAAACACACCACAACATCTCTCCTATTGGTGGAAAACTTCACCACAACAACCAATCCAAAATTATATGGTGACTGATTGACAAGGGGCGGGAACTTACGTTCTTCCTGCAACATGAGAAGCGAGGGAGGGACTCTCAGCAGGGATGCAGTCTGGGACACGTAGTTGCAAACCTAGCGACTTTGTTGTTAGATTCAATGACTTTTCAGACCCCCTAACGACTTTTTTTTAGAAAGAAAGGGACTTTTATCGACTTCTTCTGGAGTTTAGAGACTCTGACATGAAGCAGGCTTTCCTTACTGAGGAGTTAGCAACGCTGCTAAGGGTGCAGAGCCACACATGCGCTCCGAGCTCTGCATGGGAGACTGAAGCTGACAGAGCTGCAGCAGTTAGCAGGTTTCACCCTCAGAGACCACCAGGGGTTCATGTTGAGGCATTTTAAATTTTTTTTTTTTTTTTGTGCCATAGACACTGTCAGCACAATCTGCAGTTACACTAACAAAAATGCTGCAAAAAACAAAGAATTATGGAAAAATTACACATGGACTGACATAGAGGAGGATCTACACAAGTTTTTTACATCATGTTTTACATCATGCATCATTTACATCATGTTTTTTTGTAGTGGCATAAATAAAAAGTGACATTTGTGAGACTATACAGTGTTTTGTAAATAATTTTACAAAGAACACCTGGGCCATTGCCTGCATTTTGACGTCAATAGAGGTAAATTACTATGTTCTTTGTTAAAAATTTGCATATGTTTTGAAGTTTACAATTTTTATTTGAAGTTTAAGTTTTAAAAACAGTTCATCACACATATTTGTGGTTTTCACAGTAAAAACGTTACTTTTTTCCACTCGGATTTTATGTTTTGTGTGTGAATTTGGGTCCAATGTGTAAATATAGTATGTCAAAATGATAAAATAACTGTAAATTGACACAGGTGAGGTTGTGCTGAAAAAAATGATACCAGGCAAGGCAAGGTAAAAATTTTGTAAGAGGAAATATAAAGGTAAAATCTAAAGTAGTCAAAAACGGCCAATAGTGACTCACAGACTCCACAGACAAGTCCCTTTGGCGCCACTCAGTGGGCAAAACTACTTTGTCTACTGTAATGTATATTTGGGTCATCTTTGGCGCCCCCTAAAACGTAAACCGTGGGGTGCAGCGTCATGATTTTTACAACTTTGAATGGCCATGGAGTGTAGATTGGCCTGAGCAAATTTGGTGTCTGTGGTACGAAAGCCTTAGGAGGAGTTAGCGAAATTCCAATGTGTGCGGATCGGCAAAAAATGCGAAATAACCCTTTAACCATACATTAGACAGATACGCGCGCATGGACTTTTTTGTAGATCTTATTGAGATACATGTGTGTGTCAATTTTTGTGTCATTTTGACAAAGCGTACAGGCGTGACAGTCAATAGTGTGAATTTTCACCTTAGGGGACAAGAAAAAATGGACTTTTTTCTCCTGCCATGGGGGGCGCTCTTTTGGGGAGTAAAAATTCCTTCACAAATGTGTTGATGGCTGGACATTGCATCATCCTAGAAAACTTGGAGGCCAGTGAGGGCAAAAATAAAAAGTTATAAGACTTTTAAATATGTGGATTTTAGGGTTATCTTTGGCGCCCCCTAGAACCTAAACCGTGGGGTGCAGCGTCATGATTTTGATAACTTTTAATGGCCACGGGGTGTAGATTGGCCTGAGCAAATGTGGTGCCGGTGGAACGAAAGCCTTCGGAGGAGTTAGCGAAATTCCAATGTGTGCGGATCGGCAAAAAATGCGAAATAACCCTTTAACCGTACATTTGACAGATACGCCCGCACTGACTTTTTTGTAGATCTTATTGAGATACATGTGTGTGTCAATTTTTGTGTCATTTTGACAAAGCGTACAGGCGTGACAGTCAATAGTGTGAATTTTCACCTTAGGGGGCGCTATGGAGCCATTTTGCATTTTCTTGTTTGGGCGACTTCGGAATATCAAATTTTTCACCAGGCCCGGTCGTCCTGCCAAATTTCATGAGTTTTCGCCAGTGGGAAGTGGGCCATTTTCCAGTTCAAAGGGGAGGAAAAAGAAAAAAGAAAGAAAGAAACAAAGACTAGGGCCCCGGTGGGGCACTGGCGGGCCCGAGCCGTGTCGCGCCGCCCCCAGCGCGACCGCCTCCCCCACCCAATCGCGTCACACTCAAGGTCCAAAGATGGTGTGCGCACTTGTCTGTGGTCATTTACCATTATAATGAATGGGAGGCGCAGTTTCTACCAAAACGGTCGCTGCAGACAAACTACATGTCCTATTTGAAAAAAGTCTGGACCATGAGTGAGGGCACAAACACGGCTAGGATATATCCAAATGGCAAGTTGCTCCTCCTTACGGTGTTGCCGGGAGAGCGATGCGATTGAGCCATTGAGCGATGGGCAGGAAAAACTTGACTTTTTCTCCTGCCATGGGGGGTGTGGGGGGGGGGGGTGTGGATTCTTTTAAGAATGTGGATTTTTGGGTCATCTTTGGCGCCCCCTAGAACTTAAACCGTGGGGTGCAGCGTCATGATTTTTACAACTTTGAATGGCCATGGGGTGTAGATTGGCCTGAGCAAATTTGGTGCCGGTGGAGCGAAAGCCTTAGGAGGAGTTAGCTACATTCCAATGTGTGCGAATCGGCAAAAAATGCGAAATAGCCCTTTAACCGTACATTTGACAGATACGCCTGCATTTACTTTTTCGTAGATCTTATTGAGATACACGTGTGTGTCGAATTTTGTGTCATTTTGACAAAGCGTACAGGCATGACACTCAACAATGTGTATTTTCACCTTAGGGGACAAGAAAAAATGGACTTTTTTCTCCTGCCATGGGGGGCGCTCTTTTGGGGAGTAAACATTCCTTCACAAATGTGTTGATGGCTGGACATTGCATCATCCTAGAAAACTTGGAGGCCAGTGAGGACAAAAATAAAAAGTTATAAGACTTTTAAAAATGTGGATATTTGGGTCCTCTTTGGCGCCCCCTAGAACGTAGACCGTGGGGTGCAGCGTCATGATTTTTACAACTTTGAATGGCCATGGGGGTTAGATTGGCCTGAGCAAATTTGGTGTCAGTGGGACGAAAGCCTTAGGAGGAGTTAGCCACATTCCAATGTGTGCGAAACGGCAAAAAATGCGAAATAGCCCTTTAACCGTACATTTTACTGATACGCGCGCATTGACTCTTTCGTAGATCTTATTGAGATACACGTGATTGTCAAATTTTGTGTCAATATGACGAAGCGTACAGGCGTGACATTCAACAATGTGTATTTTCGCCTTAGGGGACAAGAAAAAATGGACTTTTTTCTCCTGCCATGGGGGGCGCTCTTTTGGCGAGTAAAAATTCCTTCACAAATGTGTTGATGGCTGGACATTGCATCATCCTATAAAACTTGGAGGCCAGTGAGGACAAAAATAAAAAGTTATAAGACTTTTAAATATGTGGATTTTAGGGTTATCTTTGGCGCCCCCTAGAACCTAAACCGTGGGGTGCAGCGTCATGATTTGTACAACTTTTAATAGCCATGGGGTGTAGATTGGCCTGAGCAAATTTGGTGCCGGTGGAACGAAAGCCTTCGGAGGAGTTAGCGAAATTCCAATGTGTGCGGATCGGCAAAAAATGCAAAATAGCCCTTTAACCGTACATTATACAGATACGCGCTCTTTGACTTTTTCGTAGATCTTATTGAGATACACGTGATTGTCAAATTTTGTGTCAATATGACAAAGCGTTTAGGCGTGACACTCAACAATGTGTATTTTCACGTTAGGGGACAAGAAAAACTTGACTTTTTTCTCCTGCCATGGGGGGGCGCTCTTTTGGGGAGAAAAAACTCCTTCACAAATGTGTTGATGGCTGGACATGGCATCATCCTAGAAAACTTGGAGGCCAGTGAGGACAAAAATAAAAAGTTATAAAACTTTTAAGAATGTGGATTTTTGGGTTATTTTTGGCGCCCCCTAGAACGTAAACCGTGGGGTGCAGCATCATGATTTGTACAACTTTTAATGGCCATGGGGTGTAGATTGGCCTGAGCAAATTTGGTGCCGGTGGAACGAAAGCCTTCGGAGGAGTTAGCGAAATTCCAATGTGTGCGGATCGGCAAAAAATGCAAAATAGCCCTTTAACCGTACATTTGACAGATACGCCCGCACTGACTTTTTTGTAGATCTTATTGAGATACACATGTGTGTCAAATTTTGTGTCATTTTGACAAAGCGTACAGGCGTCAGGTGAGTTTTCACCATAGGGGGCGCTATGGAGCCATTTTTCATTTTTTTGTTTGGGCGACTTCAGAATATCAAATTTTTCACCAGGCCCGGTCGTCCTGCCAAATTTCCTGAGTTTTCGCCAGTGGGAAGTGGGCCATTTTCCAGTTTAAAGCGGAGGAAAAATAACGAAAGAAGAATCCATCAGGAACAAGAGGGCTCTCGCAGCTGCTTAGCAGCTACGCTCGGGCCCTAAAAAACCACTTGGGGAATAATAGGGCCTACGCCCGGCTGCTCTGCAGCTGGCTCGGGCCCTAACTAGGGCCCCGGTGGGGCACTGTCGGGCCCGAGCCGCGTCGCGCCGCCCCCAGCGCGACCGCCTCCCCATCCCGATTGCATCACACTCAAGGTCCAAAGATGGTGTGCGCACTTGTCTGTGGTCATTTCCCATTATAATGAATGGGAGGCGCAGTTTCTACCAAAACGGTCGCTGCAGACAAACTACATGTCCTATTTGAAAAAAGTCTGGACCATGAGAGAGGGCACAAACACAGCTAGGATATATCCAAATGGCAAGTTGCTCCTCCTTACGGTGTTGCCGGGAGAGCGATGCGATTGAGCCATTGAGCGATGGGCAGGGTTAACTGGACTTTTTCTCCTGCCTTGGGGGGGGGGGGGGGGGATGTGGATTCTTTTAAGAATGTGGATATTTGGGTCATCTTTGGCGCCCCCTAGAACGTAAACCATGGGGTGCAGCGGCATGATTTTTACAACTTTGAATGGCCATGGGATGTAGATCGGCTTGAGCAAATTTGGTGTCGGTGGGAAGAAAGCCTTAGGAGGAGTTAGCCACATTCCAATGTGTGCGAATTGGCAAAAAATGCGAAATAGCCCTTTAACCGTACATTTTACAGATACGTGCCCATTGACTTTTTCGTAGATCTTATTGAGATACACGTGTGTGTCAAATTTTGTATCATTTTGACAAAGCGTATAGGCGTGACAGTCAACAATGTGTTTTTTCACCTTAGGGGACAAGAAAAAATGGACTTTTTTCTCCTGCCATGGGGGGGCGCTCTTTTGGTGAGTAAAAATTCCTTTACAAATGTGTTGATGGCTGGACATTGCATCAACCTAGAAAACTTGGAGGCCAGTGAGGACAAAAATAAAAAGTTATAAGACTATTAAGAATGTGGATTTTTGGGTTATGTTTGGCGCCCCCTAGAACCTAAACCGTGGAGTGCAGCGTCATGATTTGTACAACTTTTAATGGCCATGGGGTGTAGATTGGCCTGAGCAAATTTGGTGGCGGTGGAACTAAAGCCTTCGGAGGAGTTAGCGAAATTCCAATGTGTGCGGATCGGAAAAAAATGCGAAATAACCCTTTAACCGTACATTTTACAGATACGTGCCCATTGACTTTTTCGTAGATCTTATTGAGATACACGTGATTGTCAAATTTTGGGTCAATATGACAAAGCGTATAGGCGTGACACTCAACAATGTGTATTTTCACCTTAGGGGACAAGAAAAAATGGACTTTTTTCTCCTGCCATGTGGGGGCACTCTTTTGGGGAGTAAAAATTCCTTCACAAATGTGTTGATGGCTGGACATTGCATCATCCTAGAAAACTTGGAGGCCAGTGAGGACAAAAATAAAAAGTTATAAGACTTTTAAGACTGTGGATTTTTGGGTTATCTTTGGCGCCCCCTAGAACGTAAACCGTGGGGTGCAGTGACATGATTTGTACAACTTTTAATGGCCATGGTGTGTAGATTGGCCTGAGCAAATGTGGTGCCGGTGGAACGAATGCCTTCGGAGGAGTTAGCGAAATTCCAATGTGTGCAGATCGGCAAAAAATGCGAAATAACCCTCTAACCGTACATTTCACAGATGCGCCCGCACTGACTTTTTCGTAGACCGTATTAAGATACACGTGTGTGTCAATTTTTGTGTCAAAATGACAAAGCGTACAGGCGTGACAGTCAATAGTGTGAATTTTCACCTTAGGGGGCGCTATGGAGCCATTTTGCATTTTATTGTTTGGGCGACTTCAGAATATCGAATTTTTCACCAGGCCCGGTCGTCCTGCCAAATTTCCTGAGTTTTCGCCAGTGGGAAGTGGGCCATTTTCCCCTTCAAAGGGGAGAAAAATAAGACTAGGGCCCCATTGGGGCACTGGCGGGCCCGAGCCATGTCGCACCGCCCCCAGCGCGACCGCCTCCCCCTCCTGATCGCGTCACACTCAAGGTCGAAAGATGGTGTGTGCACTTGTCTGTGGTCATTTACCGTTATAATGAATGGGAGGCGCAGTTTCTACCAAAATGCTCGCTGCAGAAAAACTCCATGTCCTATTTGAAAAAAGTCTGGACCATGAGTGAGGGCAGAAACACAGCTAGTATATATCCAAATGGCAAGTTGCTCCTCCTTTCGGTTTTGCCGAGAGAGCGATGTTTGAGCCATTGAGCAATGGGCAGGAAAAACTTGACTTTTTCGCCTGCCATGGGGGGGCGCTCTTTTGGGGAGAAAAAATTCCTTCACAAATGTGTTGATGGCTGGACATTGCATCATCCTAGAAAACTTGGAGGCCAGTGAGGACAAAAATAAAAAGTTATAAGACTTTTAGGAATATGGATATTTGGGTAATCTTTGGCGCCCCCTAGAACCTAAACCGTGGGGTGCAGCGTCATGATTTGTACAACTTTTAATGGCCATGGGGTGTAGATTGGCCTGAGCAAATTTGGTGCCGGTGGAACGAAAGCCTTTGGAGGAGTTAGCGTAATTCCAATGTGTGCGGATCGGCAAAAAATGCGAAATAACCCTTTAACCGTACATTTGACAGATATGCCCGCACTGACTTTTTCGTAGATCTTATTGAGATACAGGTGATTGTCAAATTATGTGTCAATATGACGAAGCGTACAGGCGTGACACTCAATAGTGTGAATTTTCACCTTAGGGGACAAGAAAAAATGGACTTTTTTCTCCTGCCATGGGGGGGCGCTCTTTTGGGGAGTAAAAATTCCTTCACAAATGTGTTGATGGCTGGACAATGCATCATCCTAGAAAACTTGGAGGCCAGTGAGGACAAAAATAAAAAGTTATAAGACTTTTAAGAATGTGGATTTTTGCGTTATTTTTGGCGCCCCCTAGAACCTAAACCGTGGGGTGCAGCGTCATGATTTGTACAACTTTTAATGGCCATGGGGTGTAGATTGGCCTGAGCAAATGTGGTGCCGGTGGAACGAAAGCCTTCGGAGGAGTTAGCGAAATTCCAATGTGTGCGGATCGGCAAAAAATGCGAAATAGCCCTTTAACCGTACATTTGACAGATACGGCCGCACTGACTTTTTTGTAGATCTTATTGAGATACATGTGTGTGTCAATTTTTGTGTCAATATGACAAAGCGTACAGGCGTGACACTCGATAGTGTGAATTTTCACCTTAGGGGGCGCTATGGAGCCATTTTGCATATTATTTTTTCGGCGACTTCAGAATATCGAATTTTTCACCAGGCCCGGTCGTCCTGCCAAATTTCATGAGTTTTTGCCAGTGGGAAGTGGGCCATTTTCCCCTTCAAAGGGGAGGAAAAATAAGAAGAAAGAAAGAAAGAAAGACTAGGGCCCCGGTGGGGCACTGTCGGGCCCGAGCCGCGTCGCGCCGCCCCTAGCGCGACCGCCTCCCCCTCCCGATCGCGTCACACTCAAGGTCCAAAGATGGTGTGCGCACTTGTCTGTGGTCATTTCCCATTATAATGAATGGGAGGCGCAGTTTCTACCAAAACACTCGCTGCAGACAAACTTCATGTCCTATTTGAAAAAAGTCTGGACCATGAGTGAGGGCACAAACACAGCTATGATATATCGAAATGGCAGGTTGCTCCTCCTTACGGTGTTGCCTGGAGAGCGATGCGATTGAGCCATTGAGCGATGGGCAGGGTTAACTTGACTTTTTCTCCTGCCTTGGGGGGGGATGTGGATTCCTTTAAGAATGTGGATTTTTGGGTCATCTTTGGCGCCCCCTAGAACGTAAACCGTGGGGTGCAGCGTCATGATTTTTACAACTTTGAATGGCCATGGGGTGTAGATTGGCCTGAGCAAATTTGGTGTCAGTGGGACGAAAGCCTTAGGAGGAGTTAGCCACATTCCAATGTGTGCGAATCGGCAAAAAATGCAAAATAGCCCTTTAACCGTACATTTGACAGATACGCGCGCATTGACTTTTTTGTAGATCTTATTGAGATACATGTGTGTGTCAATTTTTGTGTCATTTTGCCAAAGCGTACAGGTGTTACACTCAACAATGTGTATTTTCACCTTAGGGGACAAGAAAAAATGGACTTTTTTCTCCTGCCATGGGGGGGCGCTCTTTTAGGGAGTAAAAATTCCTTCACAAATGTGTTGATGGCTGGACATTGCATCATCCTAGAAAACTTGGAGGCCAGTGAGGACAAAAATAAAAAGTTATAAGACTTTTAAAAATTTGGATTTTTGGGTTATCTTTGGCGCCCCCTAGAACGTAAACCGTGGGGTGCAGCGTCATGATTTGAATAACTTTTAATGGCCATGGGGTGTAATTTGGCCTGAGCAAATGTGGTGCCGGTGGAACGAAAGCCTTCGGAGGAGTTAGCGAAATTCCAATGTGTGCGAATCGGCAAAAAATGCGGAAGAACCCTTTAAACGTACATTTGACAGATACGCGCCCATTGACTTTTTTGTAGATCTTATTGAGATACATGTGTGTGTCAATTTTTGTGTCATTTTGACAAAGCGTACAGGCGTGACACTCAACAATGTGTATTTTCACCTTAGGGGACAAGAAAAAATTGATTTTTTCTCCTGCCATGGGGGGGGCGCTCTTTTGGGGAGTAAAAATTCCTTCACAAATGTGTTGATGGCTGGACATTGCATCATCCTAGAAAACTTGGAGGCCAGTGAGGACAAAAATAAAAAGTTATAATACTTTTAAATATGTGGATTTTAGTGTTATCTTTGGCGCCCCCTAGAACCTAAACCGTGGGGTGCAGCGTCATGATTTGAATAAATTTTAATGGCCATGGGGTGTAGATTGGCCTGAGCAAATGTGGTGCCGGTGGAAAGAAAGCCTTCGGAGGAGTTAGCGAAATTCCAATGTGTGCGGATCGGCAAAAAATGCGCAATAACCCTTTAACCGTACATTTGACAGATACGCCCGCACTGACTTTTTTGTAGATCTTATTGAGATACATGTGTGTGTCAATTTTTGTGTCATTTTGACAAAGCGTACAGGCGTCAGGGTGAATTTTTCACCTTAGGGGGCGCTTTGGAGCCATTTTGCATTTTCTTGTTTGGGCGACTTCGGAATATCAAATTTTTCACCAGGCCCGGTCGTCCTGCCAAATGTCATGAGTTTTCGCCAGTGGGAAGTGGGCCATTTTCCAGTTCAAAGGGGAGGAAAAATAACTAGGGCCCCGGTGGGGCACTGTCGGGCCCGAGCCGCGTCGTGCCGCCCCCAGCGTGACTGCCTCCCCCTCCCGATCGCGTCACACTCAAGGTCCAAAGATGGTGTGCGCACTTGTCTGTGGTCATTTCCCATTATAATGAATGGGAGGCGCAGTTTCTACCAAAACACTCGCTGCAGACAAACTTCATGTCCTATTTGAAAAAAGTCTGGACCATGAGTGAGGGCACAAACACAGCTGGGATATATCCAAATGGCGGGTTGCTCCTCGTTACGGTGTTGCCTGGGGAGCGATGCGATTGAGCCATTGAGCGATGGGCAGGAAAAACTTGACTTTTTCTCCTGCCATGGGGGGGGGGAGAATGTGGATTCTTTTAAGAATGTGGATTTTTTGGTCATCTTTGGCGCCCCCTAGAACGTAAACCGTGGGGTGCAGCGTCATGATTTTTACAACTTTGAATGGCCATGGGGTGTAGATTGGCCTGAGCAAATTTGGTTTCAGTGGGACGAAAGCCTTAGGAGGAGTTAGCCACATTCCAATGTGTGCGAATCGGCAAAAAATGCAAAATAGCCCTTTAACCGTACATTTGACAGATACGCACCCATTGACTTTTTCGTAGATCTTATTGAGATACACGTGATTGTCAAATTTTGTGTCAATATGACAAAGCGTACAGGTGTCACACTCAACAATGTGAATTTTCACCTTACGGGACAAGAAAAAATGGACTTTTTTCTCCTGCCATGGGGGGGCGCTCTTTTGGGGAGTAAAAATTCCTTCACAAATGTGTTGATGGCTGGACATTGCATCATCCTAGAAAACTTGGAGGCCAGTGAGGGCAAAAATAAAAAGTTATAAGACTTTTAAATATGTGGATTTTAGGGTTATCTTTGGCGCCCCCTAGAACCTAAACCGTGGGGTGCAGCGTCATGATTTGAATAACTTTTAATGGCCATGGGGTGTAGATTGGCCTGAGCAAATGTGGTGCCGGTGGAACGAAAGCCTTCGGAGGAGTTAGCGAAATTCCAATGTGTGCGGATCGGCAAAAAATGCGAAATAACCCTTTAACCGTACATTTGACAGATACGCCCGCACTGACTTTTTTGTAGATCTTATTGAGATACATGTGTGTGTCAATTTTTGTGTCATTTTGACAAAGCGTACAGGCGTGACAGTCAATAGTGTGAATTTTCACCTTAGGGGGCGCTATGGAGCCATTTTGCATTTTCTTGTTTGGGCGACTTCGGAATATCAAATTTTTCACCAGGCCCGGTCGTCCTGCCAAATTTCATGAGTTTTCGCCAGTGGGAAGTGGGCCATTTTCCAGTTCAAAGGGGAGGAAAAAGAAAAAAGAAAGAAAGAAACAAAGAAAAACCACTTGGGGAATAATAGGGCCTACGCCCGGCTGCTCTGCAGCTGGCTCGGGCCCTAAAGAAAGAAACAAAGAAAAACCACTTGGGGAATAATAGGGCCTACGCCCGGCTGCTCTGCAGCTGGCTCGGGCCCTAAGAAAGAAAGAAAGAACTAGGGCCCCGGTGGGGCACTGTCGGGCCCGAGCCGCGTCGTGCCGCCCCCAGCGTGACCGCCTCCCCCTCCCGATCGCGTCACACTCAAGGTCCAAAGATGGTGTGCGCACTTGTCTGTGGTCATTTCCCATTATAATGAATGGGAGGCGCAGTTTCTACCAAAACACTCGCTGCAGACAAACTTCATGTCCTATTTGAAAAAAGTCTGGACCATGAGTGAGGGCACAAACACAGCTTGGATATATCCAAATGGCGGGTTGCTCCTCGTTACGGTGTTGCCTGGGGAGCGATGCGATTGAGCCATTGAGCGATGGGCAGGAAAAACTTGACTTTTTCTCCTGCCATGGGGGGGGAGAATGTGGATTCTTTTAAGAATGTGGATTTTTTGGTCATCTTTGGCGCCCCCTAGAACGTAAACCGTGGGGTGCAGCGTCATGATTTTTACAACTTTGAATGGCCATGGGGTGTAGATTGGCCTGAGCAAATTTGGTTTCAGTGGGACGAAAGCCTTAGGAGGAGTTAGCCACATTCCAATGTGTGCGAATCGGCAAAAAATGCAAAATAGCCCTTTAACCGTACATTTGACAGATACGCACCCATTGACTTTTTCGTAGATCTTATTGAGATACACGTGATTGTCAAATTTTGTGTCAATATGACAAAGCGTACAGGTGTCACACTCAACAATGTGAATTTTCACCTTACGGGACAAGAAAAAATGGACTTTTTTCTCCTGCCATGGGGGGGCGCTCTTTTGGGGAGTAAAAATTCCTTCACAAATGTGTTGATGGCTGGACATTGCATCATCCTAGAAAACTTGGAGGCCAGTGAGGACAAAAATAAAAAGTTATAAGACTTTTAAGACTGTGGATTTTTGGGTTATCTTTGGCGCCCCCTAGAACGTAAACCGTGGGGTGCAGCGTCATGATTTGAATAACTTTCTATGGCCATGGGGTGTAGATTGGCCTGAGCAAATGTGGTGCCGGTGGAATGCCAGCCTTAGGAGGAGTTAGCGAAATTCCAATGTGTGCGGATCAGCAAAAAATGCGGAATAACCCTTTAACCGTACATTTGACAGATACGCGCGCAGTGACTTTTTCGTAGATCTTATTGAGATACATGTGTGTGTCAAATTTTGTGTCAATATGACAAAGCGTACAGGCGTGACACTCAACAATGTGTATTTTCACCTTAGGGGACAAGAAAAAATGGACTTTTTTCTCCGGCCATGGGGGGGCGCTCTTTTGGGGAGTAAAAATTCCTTCACAAATGTGTTGATGGCTGGACATTGCATCATCCTAGAAAACTTGGAGGCCAGTGAGGGCAAAAATAAAAAGTTATAAGACTTTTAAATATGTGGATTTTAGGGTTATCTTTGGCGCCCCCTAGAACCTAAACCGTGGGGTGCAGCGTCATGATTTGAATAAATTTTAATGGCCATGGGGTGTAGATTGGCCTGAGCAAATGTGGTGCCGGTGGAAAGAAAGCCTTCGGAGGAGTTAGCGAAATTCCAATGTGTGCGGATCGGCAAAAAATGCGGAATAACCCTTTAACCGTACATTTGACAGATACGCCCGCACTGACTTTTTTGTAGATCTTATTGAGATACATATGTGTGTCAATTTTTGTGTCATTTTGACAAAGCGTAAAGGCGTGACAGTCAATAGTGTGAATTTTCACCTTAGGGGGCGCTATGGAGCCATTTTGCATTTTCTTGTATGGGCGACTTCGGAATATCAAATTTTTCACCAGGCCCGGTCATCCTGCCAAATTTCATGAGTTTTCGCCAGTGGGAAGTGGGCCATTTTCCAGTTCAAAGGGGAGGAAAAAGAAGAACTAGGACCCCGTTGGGGCACTGGCGGGCCCGAGCTGTGTCGCGCCCCCCCCCCCCACCCCAACGCGCTGCCTCCCCGTCCCATTTGTGTCCTCTGGCCATCGCCCTCTCTGGTAACGCCCATCACTGCAAAGACCCTTTTCCTTCATCGGCGTTTGCTGTTCTTCCTGCCAGTGCGTGTTGCTTTCACTTACACTTGCCACAGCCAGCCTCGTGAGTGCCTAGCCTATTGGATATCACTGTCACCTACTCAGGACAGTCATTACCTTTCTATTAATACTTTGTTTTTTAATTTCACATTAATTTCCATATTGTATAAACAACTGGAAAAAACTTGAGCCCCTGCCCCTGTATAATCATGTGCACGTCTCTGTTCTAGCTCTAAGGTGAATCTTCACTGCTCATGTTCTCCTCAGAAGCAGTCACCTCACTCCCCTCAGGTTACTGTACACATGCACCAACTGCCTGCTTCAGGTTTGGATGGAGCTTCATGGTTGTCTTTTGGAGAAATGACCAGTCAAGTTGTGTTTGAAATTTGATTTTTTTCAGGGGCAAAAGGAGCCTCTGCATTCTTGTCAAATATGTAAATAGCATGTTTTTGCAGGTGCTAAAAACCAGACTCTGAGTGTGTGTGTGTGCGTGTGTGTGTGTGTCTGTGTGTGTGTGTGTGTGTGTGTGTGTGTGTGTGTGTGTGCGTTCAAGTCACATGACATATTCAACCGGATGTAGCTGCAAGACGGAGCCTCGTTGACTCCGTTGAGGGGCGGGCGCTTACGTTCTTCCTGCAATATGAGAAGGGAGGGAGGGACTCTCAGCAGGGATGCAGTCTGGGACACGTAGTTGCAAACCTAGCGACTTTGTTGTTAGATTCAATGACTTTTCAGACCCCCTAACGACTTTTTTTTAGAAAGAAAGTGACTTTTATCGACTTCTTCTGGAGTTTAGAGACTCTGACATGAAGCAGGCTTTCCTTACTGAGGAGTTAGCAACGCTGCTAAGGGTGCAGAGCCACACATGCGCTCCGAGCTCTGCATGAGACTGAAGCTGACAGAGCTGCAGCAGTTAGCAGGTTTCACCCTCAGAGACCACCAGGGGTTCATGTTGAGGCATTTTCAGTTTTTTTTTTTTTTTTTTTTTTGCCATAGACACTGTCAGCACAATCTGCAGTTACACTAACAAAAATGCTGCAAAAAACAAAGAATTATGGAAAAATTACACATGGACTGACATAGAGGAGGATCTACACAAGTTTTTTACATCATGTTTTACATCATGCATCATTTACATCATGTTTTTTTGTAGTGGCATAAATAAAAAGTGACATTTGTGAGACTATACAGTGTTTTGTAAATAATTTTACAAAGAACGCCTGGGCCATTGCCTGCATTTTGATGTAAATAGAGGTAAATCACTATGTTCTTTGTTAAAAATTTGCATATGTTTTGAAGTTTACAATTTTTATTTGAAGTTTAAGTTTTAAAAACAGTTCATCACACATATTTGTGGTTTTCACAGTAAAAATGTTACTTTTTTCCACTCGGATTTTATGTTTTGTGTGTGAATTTGGGTCCATTGTGTAAATTCAGTATGTCAACATGATAAAATAACTGTAAATTCGCACAGGTGAGGTTGTGCTGAAAAAAATGATACCAGGCAAGGCACGTGATTGTCAAATTTTGTGTCAATATGACAAAGCGTATAGGCGTGAATCTCAACAATATGTATTTTCACCTTAGGGGACAAGAAAAAATGGACTTTTTTCTCCTGCCATGGGGGGCGCTCTTTTGGGGAGTAAAAATTCCTTCACAAATGTGTTGATGGCTGGACATTGCATCATCCTAGAAAACTTGGAGGCCAGTGAGGACAAAAATAAAAAGTTATAAGACTTTTAAATATGTGGATTTTAGGGTTATCTTTGGCGCCCCCTAGAACCTAAACCGTGGGGTGCAGCGTCATGATTTGAATAACTTTTAATGGCCATGGGGTGTAGATTGGCCTGAGCAAATGTGGTGCCGGTGGAACGAAAGCCTTAGGAGGAGTTAGCCACATTCCAATGTGTGCGGATCGGCAAAAAATGCGGAATAACCCTTTAACCGTACATACATTTGACAGATATGCACGCATTGACTTTTTCGTAGATCTTATTGAGATACATGTGTGTGTCAATTTTTGTGTCATTTTGACAAAGCGTATAGACGTGACACTCAACAATGTGTATTTTCACCTTAGGGGACAAGAAAAAATGGACTTTTTTCTCCTGCCATGGGGGGGCGCTCTTTTGGGGAGTAAAAATTCCTTCACAAATGTGTTGATGGCTGGACATTGCATCATCCTAGAAAACTTGGAGGCCAGTGAGGACAAAAATAAAAAGTTATAAGACTTTTAAATATGTGGATTTTAGTGTTATCTTTGGCGCCCCCTAGAACCTAAACCGTGGGGTGCAGCGTCATGATTTTGATAACTTTTAATGGCCACGGGGTGTAGATTGGCCTGAGCAAATGTGGTGCCGGTGGAACGAAAGCCTTCGGAGGAGTTAGCGAAATTCCAATGTGTGCGGATCGGCAAAAAATGCGAAATAACCCTTTAACCGTAATTTTGACAGATACGGCCGCACTGACTTTTTTGTAGATCTTATTGAGATACATATGTGTGTCAATTTTTGTGTCAATATGACAAAGCGTACAGGCGTGACAATCAATAGTGTGAATTTCCACCTTAGGGGGCGCTATGGAGCCATTTTGCATTTTATTGTTTGGGCGACTTCAGAATATCAAATTTTTCACCAGGCCCGGTCGTCCTGCCAAATTTCATGAGTTTTCGCCAGTGGGAAGTGGGCCATTTTCCAGTTCAAAGGGGAGGAAAAAGAAGAAAGAAAGAAAGAAAGAAAGAAAGAAACAAAGAAAAACCACTTGGGGAATAATAGGGCTCTCGCAGCTGCTTAGCAGCTACGCTCGGGCCCTAACTAGGGCCCCGGTGGGGCACTGGCGGGCCCGAGCCGTGTCGCGCCGCCCCCAGCGTGACCGCCTACCCCTCCCGATCGCGTCACACTCAAGGTCCAAAGATGGTGTGCGCACTTGTCTGTGGTCATTTACCATTATAATGAATGGGAGGCGCGGTTTCTACCAAAATGCTCGCTGCAGACGAACTCCATGTCCTTTTTGAAAAAAGTCTGGACCATGAGTGAGGGCACAAACACAGCTTCGATATATCCAAATGGCAAGTTGCTCCTCCTTTCGGTTTTGCCGAGAGAGCGATGCGTTTGAGCCATTGAGCGATGGGCAGGAAGAACTTGACTTTTTCTCCTGCCATGGGGGGGGGGGGGGGCGCTCTTTTGGGGAGAAAAAATTCTTTCACAAATGTGTTGATGGCTGGACATTGCATCATCCTAGAAAACTTGGAGGCCAGTGAAGACAAAAATAAAAAGTTATAGGACTTTTAAAAATGTGGATATTTGGGTCCTCTTTGGCGCCCCCTAGAACGTAAACCGTGGGGTGCAGCGTCATGATTTGTACAACTTTGAATGGCCATGGGGTGTAGATTTGCCTGAGCAAATGTGGTGTCAGTGGGACGAAAGCTTTAGGAGGAGTTAGCCACATTCCAATGTGTGCTAATCGGCGAAAAATGCGAAATAGCCCTTTAACCGTACATTTTACAGATACGTGCACATTGACTTTTTCGTAGATCTTATTGAGATACACTTGATTGTCAAATCTTGTGTCAATATGACAAAGCGTACAGGTGTAGCACTCAACAATGTGTATTTTCACCTTAGTGGACAAGAAAAAATGGACTTTTTTCTCCTGCCATGGGGGGGCGCTCTTTTGGCGAGTAAAAATTCCTTCACAAATGTGTTGATGGCTGGACATTGCATCATCCTAGAAAACTTGGAGGCCAGTGGGGACAACAATAAAAAGTTATAAGACTTTTAAATATGTGGATTTTAGGGTTATCTTTGGCGCCCCCTAGAACCTAAACCGTGGGGTGCAGCGTCATGATTTTTACAACTTTGAATGGCCATGGGGTGTAGATTGGCCTGAGCAAATTTGGTGTCAGTGGGACGAAAGCCTTAGGAGGAGTTAGCCACATTCCAATGTGTGCTAATCGGCAAAAAATGTAAAATAGCCCTTTAACCGTACATTTTACAGATACGCGCGCATTGACTTTTTCGTAGATCTTATTGAGATACATGTGTATGTCAAATTTTGTGTCAATATGACAAAGCGTACAGGTATGACAGTCAACAATGTGTATTATCACCTTATGGGACAAGAAAAAATTGACTTTTTTTCTCCTGCCATGGGGGGGCGCTCTTTTGGGGAGTAAAAATTCCTTCACAAATGTGTTGATGGCTGGACATTGCATCATCCTAGAAAACTTGGAGGCCAGTGAGGACAAAAATAAAAAGTTATAAGACTTTTAAATATGTGGATTTTAGGGTTATCTTTTGCGCCCCCTAGAACCTAAACCGTGGGGTGCAGCGTCATGATTTGAATAACTTTTAATGGCCATGGGGTGTAGATTGGCCTGAGCAAATGTGGTGCCAGTGGAACGAAAGCCTTAGGAGGAGTTAGCCACATTCCAATGTGTGCGGATCGGCAAAAAATGCAGAATAACCCTTTAACCGTACATTTGACAGATACGCGCGCATTGACTTTTTCGTAGATCTTATTGAGATACATGTGTGTGTCAATTTTTGTGTCATTTTGCCAAAGCGTACAGGTGTGACACTAAACAATGTGTATTTTCACCTTATGGGACAAGAAAAAATGGACTTTTTTCTCCTGCCATGGGGGGGGCGCTCTTTTGGGGAGTAAAAATTCCTTCACAAATGTGTTGATGGCTGGACATTGCATCATCCTAGAAAACTTGGAGGCCAGTGAGGACAAAAATAAAAAGTTATAAGACTTTTAAATATGTGGATTTTAGGGTTATCTTTGGCGCCCCCTAGAACCTAAACCGTGGGGGGCAGCGTCATGATTTGAATAACTTTTAATGGCCATGGGGTGTAGATTGGCCTGAGCAAATGTGGTGCCGGTGGAACGAAAGCCTTCGGAGGAGTTAGCGAAATTCCAATGTGTGCGGATCGGCAAAAAATGCGAAATAGCCCTTTAACCGTACATTATACAGATACGCCTGCACTGACTTTTTTGTAGATCTTATTGAGATACATGTGTGTGTCAAATTTTGTGTCAATATGACAAAGCGTACAGGTATGACAGTCAACAATGTGTATTTTCACCTTATGGGACAAGAAAAAATTGACTTTTTTCTCCTGCCATGGGGGGGCGCTCTTTTGGGGAGTAAAAATTCCTTCACAAATGTGTTGATGGCTGGACATTGCATCATCCTAGAAAACTTGGAGGCCAGTGAGGACAAAAATAAAAAGTTATAAGACTTTTAAGACTGTGGATTTTTGGGTTATCTTTGGCGCCCCCTAGAACGTAAACCGTGGGGTGCAGCGTCATGATTTGTTCAACTTTTATTGGCCATGGGGTGTAGATTGGCCTGAGCAAATGTGGTGCCGGTGGAACGAAAGCCTTCGGAGGAGTTAGCGAAATTCCAATGTGTGCGGATCGGCAAAAAATGCGAAATAACCCTTTAACCGTACATTTGACAGATACGCCCGCACTGACTTTTTTGTAGATCTTATTGAGATACATGTGTGTGTCAAATTTTGTGTCAATATGACAAAGCGTACAGGTATGACAGTCAACAATGTGTATTTTCACCTTATGGGACAAGAAAAAATTGACTTTTTTCTCCTGCCATGGGGGGGCGCTCTTTTGGGGAGTAAAAATTCCTTCACAAATGTGTTGATGGCTGGACATTGCATCATCCTAGAAAACTTGGAGGCCAGTGAGGACAAAAATAAAAAGTTATAAGACTTTTAAAAATGTGGATTTTTGGGTTATCTTTGGCGCCCCCTAGAACGTAAACCGTGGGGTGCAGCGTCATGATTTTTATAACTTTTAATGGCCATGGGGTGTAATTTGGCCTGAGCAAATGTGGTGCCGGTGGAACGAAAGCCTTCGGAGGAGTTAGCGAAATTCCAATGTGTGCGAATCGGCAAAAAATGCGGAATAACCCTTTAACCGTACATTAGACAGATACGCGCGCATTGACTTTTTTGTAGATCTTATTGAGATACATGTGTGTGTCAATTTTTGTGTCATTTTGACAAAGCGTACAGGCGTGACACTCAACAATGTGTATTTTCACCTTAGGGGACAAGAAAAAAATGGACTTTTTTCTCCTGCCATGGGGGGGCGCTCTTTTGGGGAGTAAAAATTCCTTCACAAATGTTTTGATGGCTGGACATTGCATCATCCTAGAAAACTTGGAGGCCAGTGAGGGCAAAAATAAAAAGTTATAAGACTTTTAAAAATGTGGATTTTAGGGTTATCTTTGGCGCCCCCTAGAACCTAAACCGTGGGGTGCAGCGTCATGATTTGAATAACTTTTAATGGCCATGGGGTGTAGATTGGCCTGAGCAAATGTGGTGCCGGTGGAACGAAAGCCTTCGGAGGAGTTAGCCACATTCCAATGTGTGCGTATCGGCAAAAAATGCGAAATAACCCTTTAACCGTACATTTGACAGATACGCCCGCACTGACTTTTTTGTAGATCTTATTGAGATACATGTGTGTGTCAATTTTTGTGTCATTTTGACAAAGCGTACAGGCGTGACAGTCAATAGTGTGAATTTTCACCTTAGGGGGCGCTATGGAGCCATTTTGCATTTTCTTGTTTGGGCGACTTCGGAATATCAAATTTTTCACCAGGCCCGGTCGTCCTGCCAAATTTCCTGAGTTTTCGCCAGTGGGAAGTGGGCCATTTTCCAGTTCAAAGGGGAGGAAAAAGAAGAACTAGGGCCCCGTTGGGGCACTGGCGGGCCCGAGCCGTGTCACGCCGCCCCCAGCGCGACCGCCTCCCCCACCCGATCGCGTCACACTCAAGGTCCAAAGATGGTGTGCGCACTTGTTTGTGGTCATTTACCATTATAATGAACGGGAGGCGCAGTTTCTACCAAAACGCTCGCTGCAGAAAAACTCCATGTCCTATTTGAAAAAAGTCTGGACCATGAGTGAGGGCACAAAGACAGCTAAGATATATCCAAATGGCAAGTTGCTCCTCCTTTCGCTTTTGCCGAGAGAGCAGTGCGTTTGAGCCATTGAATGATGAACAGGAAAAACTTGACTTTATTCTCCTGCCATGGGGGGGCGCTCTTTTAAAGAGAAAAAACTCCTTCACAAATGTGTTGATGGCTGGACATTGCATCATCCTAGAAAACATGGAGGCCAGTGAGGACGAAAATAATAAGTTATAAGACTTTTAAATATGTGGATTTTAGGGTTATATTTGGCGCCCCCTAGAACCTAAACTGTGGGGTGCAGCGTCATGATTTGAATAACTTTTAATGGCCATGGGGTGTAGATTGGCCTGAGCAAATGTGGTGCCGGTGGAACGAAAGCCTTCGGAGGAATTAGCGAAATTCCAATGTGTGCGAATCTGCAAAAAATGCGAAATAACCCTTTAACCGTACATTTTACAGATACGTGGCCATTGACTTTTTCGAAGATCTTATTGAAATACACGTGTATGTAAAATTTTGTGTCAATACGACAAAACATACAGGCGTAGCACTCAACAATGTGTATTTTCACCTTAGTGGACAAGAAAAAATTGACTTTTTTCTCCTGCCATGGGGGGGCGCTCTTTTGCCGAGTAAAAATTCCTTCACAAATGTGTTGATGGCTGGACATTGCATCATCCTAGAAAACTTGGAGGCCAGTGGGGACAAAAATAAAAAGTTATAAGACTTTTAAATATGTGGATTTTACGGTTATCTTTGGCGCCCCCTAGAACCTAAACCGTGGGGTGCAGCGTCATGATTTGAATAACTTTTAATGGCCATGGGGTGTTGATTGGCCTGAGCAAATGTGGTGCCGGTGGAACGAAAGCCTTCGGAGAAGTTAGCGAAATTCCAATGTGTGCGGATCGGCAAAAAATGCGGAATAACCCTTTAACCGTACATTTGACAGATACGCGCGCATTGACTTTTTCGTAGATCTTATTGAGATACATGTGTGTGTCAATTTTTGTGTCATTTTGCCAAAGCGTACAGGTGTTACACTCAACAATGTGTATTTTCACCTTAGGGGACAAGAAAAAATGGACTTTTTTCTCCTGCCATGGGGGGGCGCTCTTTTGGGGAGTAAAAATTCCTTCACAAATGTGTTGATGGCTGGACATTGCATCATCCTAGAAAACTTGGAGGCCAGTGAGGGCAAAAATAAAAAGTTATAAGACTTTTAAATATGTGGATCTTAGGGTTATCTTTGGCGCCCCCTAGAACCTAAACCGTGGGGTGCAGCGTCATGATTTGAATAACTTTTAATGGCCATGGGGTGTAGATTGGCCTGAGCAAATGTGGTGCCGGTGGAACGAAAGCCTTCGGAGGAGTTAGCGAAATTCCAATGTGTGCGGATCGGCAAAAAATGCGAAATAACCCTTTAACCGTACATTTGACAGATACGCCCGCACTGACTTTTTTGTAGATCTTATTGAGATACATGTGTGTGTCAATTTTTGTGTCATTTTGACAAAGCGTACAGGCGTGACAGTGAATAGTGTGAATTTTCACCTTAGGGGGCGCTATGGAGCCATTTTGCATTTTCTTGTTTGGGCGACTTCGGAATATCAAATTTTTCACCAGGCCCGGTCGTCCTGCCAAATTTCATGAGTTTTCGCCAGTGGGAAGTGGGCCATTTTCCAGTTCAAAGGGGAGGAAAAATAATAATAATAACAAAAGAAGGAAACTACAGGAACAAGAGGGCTCTCGCAGCTGCTTAGCAGCTACGCTCGGGCCCTAACTAGGGCCCCGTTGGGGCACTGGCGGGCCCGAGCCATGTCACGCCGCCCTCAGCGCGACCGCCTCCCCCACCCGATCGCGTCACACTCAAGGTCCAAAGATGGTGTGCGCACTTGTTTGTGGTCATTTACCATTATAATGAACGGGAGGCGCAGTTTCTACCAAAACGCTCGCTGCAGAAAAACTCCATGTCCTATTTGAAAAAAGTCTGGACCATGAGTGAGGGCACAAACACAGCTAAGATATATCCAAATGGCAAGTTGCTCCTCCTTTCGCTTTTGCCGAGAGAGCAGTGCGTTTGAGCCATTGAATGATGAACAGGAAAAACTTGACTTTATTCTCCTGCCATGGGGGGCGCTCTTTTAACGAGAAAAAACTCCTTCACAAATGTGTTGATGGCTGGACATTGCATCATCCTAGAAAACATGGAGGCCAGTGAGGACAAAAATAAAAAGTTATAAGACTTTTAAATATGTGGATTTTAGGGTTATCTTTGGCGCCCCCTAGAACCTAAACCGTGGGGTGCAGCGTCATGATTTGAATAACTTTTAATGGCC